ATCGATCCCATAGGGAGCACATGAATCAATCATTTGTCTCTTGGATGGTGCAAATATTATGCATGCAAGTTATGAGTAACCCAAAGTAGTAGTAATATAATATAAATGGTGTAGAAACATAAAACTAAATATTGAAATGAAAGTAAATATTGATAGTTGCAAATGAGAGTCTTGAAACCAATCGGACTAAAGAGTTCTCGAGAGTCTGGAGTTCCCTCTAGTGTGTGCGTCTATTGTGGTGCCTAAACACAATGCTATGTCAGATTCCTAAGCCACTTTGCATATTTCTATTTGTGGACAGAGCGGGTATAGACACATGCATATACTTGGCAGGCTCGTTCACATACACCACCACCGTTCGTCCCCACTCTGGTTACCAAACAGTGATTAAGGGGGAAAAGTACCCCATGGATGCAGCCTATAGGTGGTCTTTATTTTACCCCCTGCTGCAACGATTCAGGACGAAGGGGGATGGGGTCAGTCATGTCACCCACCACGGCAACCAACCATTCCGCCATTAGTAATAACCTTTCGTCCAAAATTGGCATACATTGGATGGTCAACTTCACCCAACGTCAAGAAGATCATTAACATAAATATGCAAAGAGGATATAAATCCTAATATCATACGATCTATTACACGGTAGGTTTCATCCATATCCCCGAGAACCAGGGGAACTACTCACTCGTGAAGGCAAGAAACATGATAACACTGTCGATGTAGAACATGAATGAATCACACATGTAACACGCAAGTTGTCCCTTTTAGGGTTCTTGAGATTACAATGAATAGGATGTGGACGATGATGATGATAGTGGTGATGATGTTGAAGCCTTCCCGATGATGGTAGTGGAGGCAGCCATCACCTCCTTGCCGATTCCTTCCTCTGAATTACTCTGGAGGCTATGGTTCCTCCTTTTGGACGGGTTTCTGGTCTCTGTATTCGTACCATCCCCCATCCGATTTCACGGGGTGGAAATAGTTGATCCGGCGGCGTTGCACTCCATACGACTGCTCATACGGGCATGCATAGTCGTATGGAACGTCGTCTTTTACCCTAGAAGCGCAGCGACGATTTGTTCTTTGGCCTTCCTACTTGACTCTTTTATGGTAGGTGATCATACTAAATGCATGATTTCACTACCGTTTCCTGGGATTTCTTCCAAAAAAAATTGGTCCAAAACATGTTACCTGGGATAAACGACCAAAAGAAATGCACGAACACGGTAAAATTCCACAAGGCATAAGGAGTAGGCACAAAAATACTAGCAAAATAATCACATAATTTGGACTCACCACCTTGCTAGCGTGGACACCCAACACCATCAATATAGCGCTATTGTTAAAAAAACTATGGTGGTAGTGGACCCCATGTCACCAATATTCTACATGTTGATGGTGTGTCATGTGGACAAAACCACCATTATAATCACTCACCTAGCGACATGTAATGTACTTCGCATGCCACAAACGTTTCATGCAGCCAATCCCCCCCCACCATATAACATTTCACATTTCACATTAATAATAAGCACATATAAAAGAACAATACCAGTTAATAAGCGACAATCTCACAAATAGTACTAGCTAGCTAATTAATAAATGACAATACTCTCACAAACACTAGCTAACTAATAGTTAATAAGTAGTTTATTTAACACTGATGGCCCAGCCACACATATACTTTCAAATGAGATCAATGATGATCATCATCCTCAAGTCAACGCGCGGGGTGTTTCTGATAGTGACTAAGATGACCTGTCCAACACAGAGATTCTTGCCAGCAAGGAAGTTGTTCCACCCTGCCATGCTTAAGACAGTGCAATCATCCGTGTCCACTGCGTACGCACAGGTGGTGATGGAGCCCCTTGTGGTAAGGCGTAGTCTAGCCATGTCTGCTTCATCCGGCTCGATGTCACAACTCACCGATAGCCTCGTAGGTAATTTCTAAAAAGCATACATATATGATAGATGAGCATGTCATGCGCAATTATCAACAAAGCATACACTTCAATTCACATATATCATCGGATTCAACACTAAGCATATCATCAGCTTTTACACTAAGCATATCATCAAATTACTACACTAAGCATATATATCATCAAATTACTACATTGAGCATATCATTTCTGGAAAAAATACATATGTCATGTGCAATTATCAACAAAGCATGCATACACTTCAATTCACATATATCATTGAATTCAACATTAAGCATGTCATCCAATTCTACACTAAGCATATCATCACATTACCACTACAGTAAGCATATCACCAGATTACTACAGTAAGCATGTCATCAAATTACTACACTAAGCATACCATCACATTACTACACTAAGCATGTCATCAAATTCTACACTAAGCACATCATAAAAATTACTACACTAATTAAGTATCATCAAATTACTACACTAAGTAACGTACCATGACATGGCGGATAATATTCGTCCTTGTCAGATGACTCACGAATGGCATCCCGGCGTAGGCATCACGTGGCAAAAGTTTTTTCCAAAGGTTGTCCATTTCATCATCGCCCAGCCTCGTTCTTTGGCCATAGAGGGCTTCATCAAGTGGGTCCTCATCATCTTCCTCCGTGTTGAGATAGATAACAACCAGCCTGGTTCTTCGTCCTCTGAAGGAGAAGCTGATCAATTCACCCCCCAGTGAGTCGCATATGGGCAATGAAATGATCTCATTCATCTCCTCAAATCTGGGACATCTTTCATTCCTTCTCGACCTCCATAGTGTAGGCCCCCCAGGAGCGTCGAAGATCATAGTGTCTTCGGTCAGCTCATTGAATTCCTATCTTGCATTGCATGGGACGATCTGTGTAAGAACAAAACACACACACACACACACACACACAATGCATTAATGGAAATAACAACAAAAATAAAAGAAATAACTTTTAGAAGGTTCATATAATTTGTTACCGCTGCAGGAACAAAACTCAGCTAGAAGTAGATGCCGAACAACGTGCCAGTTGCAAGGCTGCTAGAGCACCTTGACTTGCACACTCGACATGGTGGTAGTTGCGCCATTCTAAACAAAACGTATTGAACACTAAGTATAATCGGATTCTAGACTAAACACTAAGTATAATCGGTTTCAATACTAATAAATCAATTTATACTAAATATAATCAGATACTGCACTGCTAAATCTAATTTTACGCTACTAATTGTATACACAAATAAACAAAATCGGTCGAGGGAGACACAAATAAACAAATTCTACACCGCCAATCTAATTATAATTCTTGGCTTTCTTCATCTACAATGTCTATCCATTAGCAATCACACTAGCAATACAAATTTAGCAAATCATCTACCTACACAGTAGCATTGAGCATTTACAGTACTAAAATTCATCCATCCATCTATCAGAAAGCTAGCACCATTCATTCATCTATCAAGCAAAGCATCTACTCCTACCAAACAAACATACATATTCACGGTACCAAAATTCATCCATGATCCATTCATCAGTCCATCCATGTACAGAGAAGAAGTATCTTATTTTTCTGGCTCAGATCCGCCACTGGAGGGAGACGCTAGGGCAAGGGAAGAAGATGTGCGAGGGGAGAGGGGAGATCTTCTCCTGACCCAGAGGTGGCGGTTGACGCACTAGTCCAACGACTACGAGCGGCGTGGTCGGGAG